TATCAACTTCGTTCCTTCCTAATTTCTATGAACATTGCCACTCAATAAGTTATTCTTTTGTCTCACTCAGAGAATGTCACTAAAAGTGCGCTACCAATGGACTGGCGACCTCCGGGAAGCTCTTGCCCACAGCGTCAAGAAGCGGGAAAAGCTTTGGAAGAAGGTGCCCGTGGTCAGTCATGACACCGAGTTGAGAGCTAAACTTTGGGCGGAGGTTGCTGATGAGCTCACCCAGCAGTTTGGAATTCAAGTCGACAGTAAGTTTCTTTCCTTTTTTGAGTATATCTCTTTGGAGTTATTCGAACTGATACTATCTGCAGCCGATGACATGAAGAGGACATGGAAAAATTTGAAGGATAACTATTGGAGGATTACCCGACTATACGAGAGCGATCCTTTGAAACCTAGACGATGGCGATTCTATAATTGCATGAGATTTATGGAAAGGGCGAACATCGACGATTCGATAGCTGTCGACGGCCAGCCTTCAAACCAATCGGTTTCTGAGACATCACAAGCGAGGTACGCCAGTATCGAGAAAGCTACAGAGGCCTTGTTTTGACCCAGCGAGTTCAGATTAGAAAAGGCTCGAATTCTCATTGACGGCATAGCAAAACGATTGCGTAACGAAGACCAAGATGCACAATTGAGCGGTTCAGATGGTGGCAGATCAAGTCAAGAGGTAAAACCGATTTCACACAAAAATCGATCCCATACGTAATTACCTTGACAATGTAACAACAGAGGTTAACCGTAGTTAAAAACAGAGTGTAAATCTAGCGTTATAGAGTTAAAAAGCAGTATTCTTTCATTTTAGTCACTTTCATTTACTTCGTGACCGCCTCCAAAAATTTCAGGTCTTAAACTAGAAATGAAAAACAAACTTTTAAAAGCTACATCAGAAAAATACACTTCCTCCCACCTACGTACCTATAAATTTAACGGATTAGTGAGCGATAAAGAAAGAGACTAAATTCAAACTAAGAAACTGACACTGAAATAATTAGCAACCAATTAACATTAACTTTTTCAATTTTTAATGTTTTTTGCTCACCTATCCTCTTGTGTACTGAAAAATGATTCAGGGAAGCGAATGTGGTGGAGCACGAAACAGTCTGGGACAACGTTTGCGAGATTTGATCCAAATTTCCATACCGGAGATCGACCGATATATAAAAACCAAACAAAGACCTCTAACAGGAGCCGAGGTGTACTGCATTCCAATTGAAGAAGTCGACGGTTCGTTCCCGCTTTCTTGCATACGAGAGCTTTAAGTGATCAACAGAACAGGTGATGTCGAAGTTCTAATCAAATAGAAAAATCAAATGGCTAAATGAATGGGGTAACGGCTGGTTGAGTTGACTTCAGCCCTGGAGACTCATAGAATTTATCAGATTATTTCAGATGTATTGGAAAAGAGATTAGCAAAGGTATGGAGCGAGTTAGATGCCAACCAAGAAATAATAGAAGACCAATTGGACAGCGAAATTGATGCTATGCATGTATACCAAGCAGAAAATCTCATCAC